GGCCTCGGCTGGATCCGTGCCTCCACCCCAAATCGCAGTGTGCCTGTGCCTCTCGGTGCGGTGCTTACAATCATCTCCTCTGGGGAGGGTTGCCGCTGGTTCTGTTTGGTATGTTAGCGGGGCAGTACTATTCGAGCAGGGGTATCTGAGCGCAGTCTCTTCTGAGACAAAAAGGACAGACTGATGAATCGCAGGCAAGCAAGCCCTGAGGGGAGGAAGGCATACATACGCCTTGCCGTGAAGACCACCAGAAGCCTGAGGATACAAGCCCAGGAGCCCAGGACCTCCCTCTAGGCCCAGGGTGAGAGAGGGAGCGAGCCTCCTGCAGGAACAGTATCCAGAGTTCAAACTTCTCGTCTCTCAAAGGAGGGAAAGCCCACGTGTGCTACTATAAGGTGACCAGACGCCCCGCTTTTGGCAGGACAGTCTTGATTTCTAACAATTTGTCCCGCGTCCCGCGGCGTTTTAAAAAAGTCCCGATGTTTGGAAAGAATGCACGACAAGCTAGGGAATATACAATTTTCGGCTGCCTTATGGCTATTTTGCCAGGATATGAGTTTTATATTATTTTTGTTAATTTTATAATGTTAAACTTTAATAATAACAAATAATTGTTGAGAACTGATTATCGAGAACTGCTTATCAAAGTTCACATGGTTGATCAGTGTTAGAATTTGACCACCATTGTTTGGACTTAATGAACAATGGCATTGTGGGGCATTGGCAACAACAAAAACATTTTGTAACTGTCTCTCAGACGATACACATTGTACTGCATGCTCGTGCTAGTTAAACAAGTGATGTCAACAAATCAGCTATTCAGATAATTTAGGTCAGTTATTTATTTATTTCATAAATACATAAATTTTCTTGAAAATAATACTTGTATTATTTATATTTTATAGTGACGGCAAAAAGTCTAGTGCCGTGACACAACTTACGTTATAGCAAATTCAGAGAAAAAATAATACAAGTTAGTATTGTTATTATTTAGAAAGAAATATAGGATTAAAATTAAAATAATTTTTAAAATATAGTTACTTTATAACAATCTAACTTAATTTCTAAACTAAACAATAAAATATGTTCATGTAATTATGTACCGACTTACTGTGTTTTTAAGCCATATGTATATCATAATTTATAATATAACTGAAAAAATTTTTTTTAGATTTTTAACATAATGAGTAAGAAAAGAGGATGCAAATTCAACGATGATCTAAAAAGTGAATTTCCTTTTAATAGAAAAACCAAAAGCGATTACATGGTAAAATGTGAGAAATGTAATGGTGAATTTTCTATTTCACACGGCGGGAAGAATGATATTTCAAAGTACTTGGAGACACAGAAACATAAAAGATATTTAAATACTGCTGCATCTTCCTCCAAAATACAGATTTTTTTTGGAAAACAACTTATGGAGCCGAAGAAAAGAACTTAGCGTTAGCAGAAGACTTACGTCTTTTCATGCTACTGATCACAATCACTCCTTCAGATCTATGGACTGTCCATCACAAGCTGTCAGGCAAGTTAGTCAGCAAAGAATGTGCCTAGAACAAATCCTAGAACAAAATCCGAGGCAATCGCATGTAATGTGCTTTCCCCATATGCACTTTCACAATTAAACAAAAATCTAGAAAAAATTAATTTCACATCCATATATTCTGATGCATCTAATCATAAGGATATAAAGTTATTCCCAACCATTATTAGATGTTTTGATTCAGAAATTGGAATAAAAATTAGAATTTTAGATTTCGTTTTTTTGCCCGGCGAAACTTCTGAAATAATTTTCAGTTCCATTATTAATATTTTGGGGGGGAAATTTTTAAACATAAAATGATTGCGTATTGTGCAGACAACACGAACGCAAATTCTGGAGGAAAAGCGAGAAGAGGTGCAAATAACATTTTTTATAAACAAAAACCTTAATCAAAATATTATTGGTGTTGGCTGTGCAGCGCACACAATACATAACGCCATTCAAACAGCTGCTGATTTGTTGCCATAGATGTGGAAAATGTTATCAAAATATATTCTTATTTCTATATATACACTGTGCGCATTGAAATGCTTAAAGAATTTTGTGAAACTGCGGAAGCCGAATATCAGAAAATACTTGCTGGTTAGCTCTTTTGCCAGCTGTCGGAAGAATTTTGAAAATATACGATCCTTTGAAATCCTACTTTCTATCACAGGATAAATGTCCTAGAATGTTAGAAGAGGTTTTTGAAAAAGAATCTTCAAAATTTTGGCTAGAGTTTGTACACAATCAAGCAACTCTTTTTCAAAATGCTATAAAACTTATTGAAGGTGACAACATTTCAGTGATCGAAGTAGCAAATGAAGTTAATAATTTAAAATTTCAGTGTCAAGAGCGGTGAGAAAATAATTTTCTTCCGTTAACTATCCTTAATAGTATAAGCCAGCAGAAGAACAAGGTGCAATAAATCGTGCATATATCATGAATCACGTTAAAAAGTTCTATAGTAACTGCATAGATTATTTAATAGAGTGAACGGTACATTACAATGATATTGAACATTTTCATTGGGTTACATTAAAACAAGAACTTAATTGGAATGATGTGCAAAAATCATTCGATCATATTACTCAAAATTTCCCATTAGTAGTATTTCCGAATATGATCTTTTTAATGAGGTATCATTATTTAAAAAATACATTGATAAGGAATACATTGGGCATCAGCAAAAATCACAATAGAGAACAAATGGTTAGAAATATTTCATCATTTTGAAACAAACCATGTTCCATACAATAATGCATTAAAATTGTGGAATATGTGCTGTCCTTAGCAGGAACCAATGCTGCGACTGAACGAGTTTTTCCTACGGTAAATAAAGTGTGGACATCAGAAAAATCACAATTAAGTGTTGAGACTTTGAAAGCCATTTGATGTGTGAAATATAATTTAATGAATTCTTGTGAAAATTTTCATGACCTTTTAAACGACAGCAATCTACTAAAAAAATTCACTCAAGTGAGAAATATGCCAAAGGATAAAATACTATACGTAATTTTTAATGTATTATATTTGTAAATTGTACTTATGTTGAAATTTTAAAAAATATATTACAATACTATTTTTTGCATTCTATGAAAATTTTTGTTGCTCCATATAGACCAAATTTTTAATCAAGAACCCCCACCCCCACCCACACACCCCCACCCCCGTCAATGGTGTCCCGCTTTACCAATGTTAAAATCTGGTCACCTTAGTGTGTTAGACACCCCAGCGTGGCTGTTCTGTCGGGGCAGAGGGACAAGGTGGGGTGTGGACTCCTTTCTGAGCCACCCCGGCAGCAGAGGCAGTCTGCGGCCCAACCTGTCTTTCCTCCGCTGGACAGACATCGCAGGTGTTGTGCAAAAGTGCAGGGCACCTCATACCAGTCCCCAGACCCCCACACTGACCGCCCTGTCCCCCCGCCCCATGCTGGAAAGGCTTCCTCCACGAGCTCAGGGAGCTGGAACTCAGCCAGCATGTGCCATCGGTCAGGGTCTCTGGGACGAGCACTTAGCACCCTCTGACTCATAACGGCGTGAATCTATCAGTAAGCTAGGCGGCAGCTCCCTGGGGACACTGGAGGACCAGGCTGGGAGGACAGGCAGGAACAAGGGGCAGGGGGACACGGAGAACGGAGTAAGTCTGGTAGGAAAGCCCTGTGGACACCCAGAGCTGTCACCAGCACCTGTCCACACGGCCAAGCGGTGCTCTCTGGGGCAAGCTGGTGGATGGCGAGCTTGTGGGTCTGTCTGTCACTCCATCTCTCCACCAAGGCGGTACTGGAGAAAAATGAAATTTTCCACAGTAAACAGGTTTTCAACAGACAGCCTTGGAAATGTCAGGAGGGACAGGCCACACTCCATGAATCTGGTTACCACTGAGTCATTTCCAGGGGTCTCCTCCCTCCCCACCTCAAGTTGTGCTTGCTCAATCGTGACTCCTTCTCCTCCAGGCCCACCACCCGCCTTCCCAGGCAGGCGGCCAGTTCGAGGCTCTATCAAGGGTGGAGGGCCGCTTACAAGTTGGGCTTCCAAGCTCAAGGTCAGCAGTTTGGAACCCCAGCCGCTCCGTGAGAGAAAGGGGAGGCTTCCTACTCCGGTGATGAGTTGCAGCTCTACTGTGCCCTATTGGGCCACTGTGGGTCAGCGTGCCCCGGGTAAGGCCAGTGTGCCCACCGTGCCCGGGGAAGGCCAGCAAAGGCGGGGAATGCTCCCCAGGGACCACAGCAACCACGTGCGACATCCCATAATAAGTCTTGCTCTCTGGTAGGGAAGCCCTTGCAAGCAGAACCCCTCGTGAAGGCCAGCTGAGCAGGCACCCACTTAACCCAGCCGACCTGTTCTGGGCAAACCCCACCTGTCTCTCCAAATGTTAATGAATCTGCACGACCTCCCCGGGCTCACTGTGCAGGGAGGGGTTGGATCAGAGCCCTAAGCCCCGCCTAGCTTTGGGGGGCTGGGGAGCAGGGTAAGCTAACGTCCCCCTTCCTCACCTCTGCCCCCCGGCTCTCCACTCTAACGAAACTCTGCTGGTGGAGATTCAGTGCCTCTCTAGGTCACCCTCGATTGGAGCCTGCTGGTGGTTTCGAACTGCCGACCTGGAAGGTCGGGGCCCGACGAGCAGCCACTCCCCAACCCGTGCCCCTCCGACGCGTCCCCAGGACGCCTACTCGACGCTGACCACCTACTCGCGCGGACGCCGGCCCCGGCCTCTTCCGCTGCGCAGGCGCAGCCCCCAACAAACTTGGCGCCCGGCGGGGCGGAAGCGCACCTGCCCCCAACAAACGTGACGCCCGGCGGAGACGGAAGCGCACCTGCCCCTAACAAACGTGACGCCCGGCGGAGGCGGAAGTGCGCCTGCCCCTAACAAACGTGGCGCCCGGCGGGGCGGAAGTGCGCCTGCCCCTAACTCAGATGGCGCCCCGCGGGGCGGGCCAGCTGGCGAAAGTGGCCCTTCCGGCAGCAGCCCGGCCACCATGGCGGCCACGACGGCCTCCTCGGCGATGAAGCGGCTGGACCTGCGCGACCCCGCGGCGCTCTTCGAGACGCACGGGGCGGAGGAGATCCGCGGCCTGGAGCGCCAGGTGCGGGCGGAGATCGAGCACAAGAAGGAGGAGCTGCGGCAGATGGTGGGCGAGCGGTACCGCGACCTGATCGAGGCGGCCGACACCATCGGCCAGATGCGCCGCTGCGCCGACGGGCTGGTGGACGCCGTGCGGGCCACCGACCGATACTGCGCCCGCCTCCGCCAGGCCGCCCCCGCCGCGTCCCGGCCGCCGCCCTCCCAGGTCAGTGTCGCCCAGCCCCCTGCGGCCTCACTTGCCGTCCCGGGGGCAGAGGGGCAGGAAGACCCTCGGAGCTCCCCACCTGTACTTGTGGGGCCCCCCGGGCTCCCCTTCTCGCATCACGTGGAGTCGCCGGGTCTCCCCGGCCTCGCTTGGCGCCCCCCGGGCTCCCAAGGCTGGACTCTAGGGATGCGGATGCAGAGCAGGTGCAAGGGGGCCAATGGCGTTTCCCAGCCTGACTGCTCAGCACAACTCACGCCGGTTTACCATCCTGACGTCGCCTGCTTCCTGACGTGCGCACCTCCCCTCCCTGGAATAACTTACACACGCCCAGAGCCTTCCACCCTCTGGGAGGGTCTTGCTGGCCCTTGAGTCCCCACTTTCCAGCCATGGTGGCAACGTGGATTGCACATTGGACTACTAACTGCGAGGTCAGCAGTTTGAAGCCCCCAGCAGCTCCATGGGAGAAAAGATGAGGCTTTCTACCCCCGGAAAGAGTTATGGCCTCGGAAACCCTCGGGGGCTGCAGTCAGAATCAACGAGAAGGCAGTGGGTGAGCCAGGGACGAGGCTGCACTCTTAGGGGTTGTTGTCATCGTACACAACCAGGGCCCAGGCATTAGAGTTATCCTACAAGTTCTCCGCCCCCCAGCCCCCACCCCAAACATTACTGATTAGAACCCAGGTGGAGGAGGTGGTCTTGATCAGTAGAGTGGGCGTCCTGGGCAGCCCAGGCTGCCACTGCAAGGCGGAAAGGTTGGAGGTTCAAGCTGGATTCAGGTGAAGACGTTGAAGGAGGGATGTCACTGCTGATGTCTGCTGGAAGCAGATGTCTGCCTGTGCTTTACTGGCTGTGCAAAGACACCTAACAGGCTGTGGACAGATACCATTGTGGAAAATGGGCATTCTGGGGCACTAGATGCTCCTGGGGAACGTGTGCATAGAATCAGAGGGACCGGTCCCTGGAGAAAGGGCATCATGCTTGGTATAGTAGGGGTCCTCAGGGAAGACCAGCTGATGCAGTGACTCCAGCCGTGGGCTCCCACTTGGTAAAGATGGCTCGGAGCCACAGGGTTGCTATGGGCGGGAACTCACTCCGTGGGCCCTAATGGAAAACCACAGCGCCCACTTGGTCCCAGGCGCAGAAAAGAACTCTTTGGCCACCACGTAATCCCTAGCCATGAGGAGCCCATGAAAATGGAGTCAAGAAGGTCATGTGACGGCCAAGGAAAGGGTAGGAGGGTAGAAGCCGAGGAGGAACAGCGAGTTGGGGGCTGGCACTCACCCAAGTGTGAAAACGTGTGAATGGTGAGTGGGACCAGGCCTCGGTGTGGGGACAGTCGCAGAACCCTCAGAAGGACTCGGAGGTCCTGGGGCTTTGGGAGCAGGGTGGCTGAGTGTGCTAAGACTCGAGGCTACGATGTTCGGTCCTGCGGGAGAATGCTTCTCAAACATGCAGAGCGAGGCGGCAGCAGCAGCCAGGCTGGCAGTGCGTCCCAACGAGGAGAAACGCCCCAGCCATAGCAGCAGCAGAGGCCGGCATAGGAGTCGGGGGACCAAAGGTGACTCTAGCCGCCGGCTTCTGCTTAGAGGGGGTGTTGGCGGGAAGGGAATCCCCAGGTAAAGATGAGGAAGAGGTGTGGAGGTGAGTGTGGTGGAGAAAAGAAGGCGGTAGAGAAGTCCGTGAGGCACTCAGAGAAACAGGAGGAAATGGGCAGGGCCATCAGAGGGGGAAGGAGAGAGTCCCCCACCCAGGGGGTCGAAAGGCCCCGTGTTGCTATCAGCATACAGGGAGGGTCGCCCTTAACCAGCGTGAGAGGGGCCTGGGGGGCTTGTTTGGAGGGTCTACCAGGAGCCGCAGCCACTCATAGATCCTTGCTGGAGAATGGTCCTCTTCAGGCGAGGTTACAGCCTCAGGAGGGACATCCCCCCAAGGAGCAGTGAGGGAGGAGGGGGACACTCACCTGGCCAGCCAGATCACCAGAATTAACCCAGGCCATTGATGGGGTGGCAGATGCAGAGCCAGATCACCCTGGTGTGAGATAGTGCAGTGTTTGTCTCTCCGTGAGGCCAAGCAGAACCAGACTCCCTGGCATCCAGGCCACTCCGGCCCACGGTGACCCTACAGGTAAGAGGAGAACTGTCCTGGGGGCTTCCAAGACGGTCACTCTGGACGGGAGTGGAAAGCCTCTTCTTTCTCCCAAGAAGCAGCTGGTGGTTTCAAACGGCCGGCCTTGTGGTCAGCAGCTCAGTGCACCACCAGGCTGCCTCCATGGCTCCAGCAAAGATGCCCTCAAAAGGTGCTTGCCGTGGGAGATTCTACGGCGTGCAGGAACGCTCCGACCCCCACTTCTGTTCCAGCTGAGTGCTGGCAGATCAGGCTTTCTTCGGCCCTTCAGTCAATGCCGCCTCACAGTGACCCTACAGGACAGGGTAGACCTGGCCCCAGGGTCTATGAAAGTAGAAGCCGTTTTTCTCCCGTGGAGCGGCTGGTGGCTTTGAACTGCCAACCTTGCAGTTAGCAGCTTAATGTGTTATCCTCCTGCGGGCTTATTGCCCTGAAACGCCCCAGTCCGCCTTCTCCCCACGCTCCGAAGGTCCTCACAGGCCTGTGCTCAGCCCCGACTTAGTTCCCGCACACCCCACAGGCCCCGCCGCCGTCCCAGCTGAGGTTCTACAGCACTGCGGCCCAGATCAAGCTGCTGCTGGCCATCCCCGAGCAGATGTGGAGCGCCACGGAGGCCTCCCAGTACCTGCCTGCCACGCGCCTCTACCTGCTCTGCTGCCACCTCCACCGACTGCTCCGCCTGGGCTCCTCCAACCCCTTGGGCAGCCCTGTCCTCTCCCGCTTCCCTATACTGATCCGCCAGGTGGCCGCGGCCAGCCACTTCCGGTAAGGGAGTCCCGCTTCAAGACCTCTGGCTGTGGCCACCCTGTACCATTACCCAGGAGCCCTGGTGGCCTAGTGGGTGCCAGGTTGAGCTGCTAACCCCAAGGTGGGCAGTTCACATCCACCAGCCACTGGGAGGGACGTGGGGTGGGGGTGGGTGGCTTGGAAACTCCAGTAAAGAGTTACAACCTTGGAAACCCACAGGGGCAGCTCGTCCCTGTCCTGCAGGGTGGGTGGCCGTGAGTCAGCATGGGCTGGAGGGCACTGAGTTGGGTCGTGGTGTGGGACCACTGCTGATGTGCCAGGGGGCGGCCTCCTCTGGGCCTCTTGCCCTGCCTCCTCCAGGTCAACCATCCTGCAGGAAAGCAGGCAGCTGCTCAAATGCCCGGCAGTGTCTGACCAAGCCGTGGCCGAGGCCCTGTGCTCCATAGCGCTCCTGGAGGAGAGCTCCCCGCGCCAAGCCCTGGCCGACTTCCTGCTCGCCAGAAAGGCCGCCATCCAGAAGCCCCTCAGCCAGCCGCAGCAGGGTGCGTGTGGGGCTCCTGCTCCCCCCGGAGGGGCGGCCGGGTCAGGACGGGGCTTCAAGGAGAAATGCTCCCTTGTCACAGGTGCCAGCACCAAGGCCCAGGTCTGCGCCCTGGTGGAGCTGCTGGCCACCACTCTGAGCCAGGCGCACGCCCTGTTCTACACGCTGCCAGAGGGCCAGCGGCCGGACCCCGCGCTGCCCTGCGGCTTGCTCTTCTCCACCCTGGAGACCATCACAGGCCCACATTCCGCCGGTGAGCTCTCGGTCAGGTCCTCTGGGAACCGGCTGCCTGGGACAGACTCTGGGACAGGGCAGTGGCCTGGGCAGCGATCCAGCCCTCATTGGTGAAGTCAAGGTCCGTGGCTGGGGAAAGGGGCAGAGATAGTTAGGTGCCGATTCACAGAGGCCCCGTGGGACACAGTAGCACTGTCCCCAGACCTGTCCTGGGCTGCCAGCCATCCAGAAACACATGGCAGGTCCCCTCACCCACAGAGCTGCTGGCACACAATGCCAGTCTGTGGTTCGCAGCCGGGTATGTAACCACAGAGGCCACGGGGTCTGATGTCTACAGTTCGAGACCCCGGCTGCTCCGAGGGAGAAACACGGGGTTCTCTGCTCCTGTGGAGAGTGGCAGCCTCAGAAACCCACAGGGGCAGTTCCACCCCGTCCCAGAGGGTCGCTGTGAGTCAGCATGGCGCGATGGCACGGAGTTTGGCATGAGAAGGCCATTATTGACCCATGCTGTAAAGGTGGCAGAACAGGCCGCGTGGGGGCGGGCACTCAGCAGGGCCTTTGGTGGCGTGGTGGAGGGGCTGCGGAAGGCCCAGTGGGTGCAAGCCAGGCAGAGAGCATTCTGAGTGCAGAAGGGTGGGCTGGGAGGAAGGGGTCGTGGCTGAGGAGTGGGGGTGTGGCGCGAGACTTGAGGGGTTGAGGCTAGGGGAGTGGAGGCTGAGGACCAGGCAAGGGAGGTCGGACTTTCCCCCTCTGGAGGCTTCCTCTTCCAGGTGGGGCGGGTCCTCAAGCCCGGTCTCCAGGCCTCCTGTCCCTTCATCTCTGCATTCATTTATTGGGTGGCGCTGCTCATCATTGGAATGAAATAAACCTGATTAGCTTCTGTGTGGCTGGGGATCCTGGTGGGGTGACCGGGCGTCCCCTGGGCCAGGCGAAGGAAGAGGGCTGAGCCCCGCATGTCTCTAGGGAAGGGCCTTGGGGTCCTGCAGCAGGAGGGGAAGCTCGGCAGCTGGTTCAAACACCTGCCAGCCTCCATCGTGGAGTTCCAGCCTGAGCTGCGCACCCTCGCCCACCCCATCAGCCAGGACCACCTGAAGGACACGCTGCAGAAATGGATCCACGTGTGAGGAGGCAGGCCGGGGCCTGCGGGCACGGGTGGGGGTGGGAGTGAGCCGGGCCCACGGAGAGCCGTTTGGTTGCAGGTGTAAGGAAGACATGAAGAGGGGGCTCACTCACCTGCTGCTGTATGTGAAGAGCGTGCGGAGCCTGGCTGGGATCCGTGACGCCGTGTGGGCCCTGCTCACCAGCGAGGCCACCGACCACAGCTGGAACGTGGTCTGCCGGCGGCTACTGGACAGGCCACTGCTGCTCTGGGAGGACCTGATGCAGCAGCTGTTCCTGGAGCGGCTCCAGGTGAGGCGGGTGGCCCCGAGCTGCGCCCTTTGCTGCTCACTCGCCCCTGGGCGGTTCTTCTGAAGGCGTGAACCCCAGGCCCAGATTCAGGTTCTGGAGCTGAAAAGGGGACGTCAGGGCACGCTGGAGGAGCGGTGGCTGACGCGCTCCCCTCTTCGCTTGCAGTCCCTGATGAGAGAAGGCTTCGAGGGCATCTCGAGCAGCTGCAGCGAGCTCCTGGGCTCGGCGCTGCGGGGGCTTGAGCCTGGCGCCAACAGCTCCCCACCCAGCAAGCACGCGCACTCCGAGCACAACATGGCGCTCTTCCTCTGGGCCGAGAGCCCCAGTGACCTGCCCCCCGACGCCGCCTGGGTCAACGTGGCCAACCGCACCCAGTTTGCCACCAGCGGCCTGGCCATGAAGGCGCATGCCGTGACACCTTGTGTGCAGAGCTTCTGCTCTGCCCTGGATGCCAAACTGCAGGCCCAGCTGGACGATATCATGGCCTACCTGCCCCCCGAGGATGCACCCCCGCCCCCCAAGAACTCAGCCTTCAACCGGTTCGCGGATGCGGAGGCTGTGCAGGCAATGCTGCAGGCGCACGCCGTGGGCTGCGTCAGGCACATTGAGGGCTGCGTCAGCACTGAGCTGCGGGGCGTCGAGGAGGCCATGCAGGGGCCCGAGGCCCTGCCCGGCGCCCGGCTGCACGCAGTGCTCTTCATGGCCAGGCTCTGCCAGTCCCTGGGGGTGCTGTGTCCCCACCTGAAGCAGTGCATCCTGGGAAAGGCAGGGGGCTCTTCGGACAAGCCAGCCAGGGAGGTGAGGGCGCTGAAGAAGCAGGGGCAGGGCAAGGCTCCGGAAGTACGGCCTCTGCAGAGCAAGTGGCAGGATGTCCAGGGGGGCCTGCTCCAGCAGAGTGTGCTGGCCTTCCGGGTCTGGAGCTCGGCCATCGTGAAGGTGAGTGGCCGGATGGGCAGGGGGCTTGGCGGTCAGGCCCGCCGTCCTCTGAGGACCAGCTCCCTGAGCTGTGTGTGCTCACCCAGAGTCCCCAGACGGAGCCTTATCTTGCTGTGGCCCCAACTTGCCTATTGTAGTCACACCGTTTTGCCGAAGGAACCCTTCCGGTGACCTACATACAGTCAGGGAGCCCTGATGGCATAGTGGGCTATGAGTCCGGCTGCTAAACCTCAGACTGATGGTTCAAATCCCCCAGCTGCTCCCAGGGAGAAAGATGAGGCTGGCTGGTCCCATAAAGACCCCCCGCATCGGTACCCCCGGGGCAGCCCTGCTCTGTCCTCCAGGGCCATGTGGTGGGCGGGAAGTCAGGCTCATGTCCAACGTGCTTCCTCCCACCCAGCCTCTGAGGCCGCCCAGGGAGGGGTCTCGTTTTAGCCCCGACTTACTGTCACTCAGCCTGAATCTGTCCTCCCCCACCCCCCCTGGGCGAAGTGAAGGGATCTTGGGACAAGGGTGGAAGTCCTGCCCCTGGAGTCTCTGCTGGTCACCTCAGAGGTGGCCTGCCACCACCAGAGCAGTGGGCAGCGGACCGTCTACTCCAAACGCCTTCTACCAGCTCATTGGGGCCTTTGCCATCCACGGCGGGCAGGTTCTGGTGCGTGGGTTCGACCGGGCACTGCAGTTGGGCGATGCCGGCGCCGTCCTGGCCTCAGCCACCAGCTGGGAGGAGCTGGAGATCCAGGAGGAGACCGAGGCGGGCGGTAGCGTCACCTCCAGGATCCGGCTGCCCGTGCAGGTGAGCATGGGCCGAGGAAAGGCGGGAAGTTGGTCTTGGAACTCTGCACCGGGGGCGGCTAGCGGTCAGCCAGCCAGCTGCTCTGGACAGGGTGGCCGCGATGGTTGGTTTGTCATCTGTCGGGAGGTACCTGGAGTCGATCCCAGGCCGGGCCTGCGCATGCTCAGTTGTCCTTACATGTGAGCCCACTGCTGCGGCCATGGTGTCCCTTACTGACCTGAAGCTGGAGCCCTGGCTGTGCCATTAGCTGAGCCGTCCCAACCCACCCGCGGCTGCTCAGGGAGACGAGGTGGCAGTGCGCTTCCACAGACTCAGCCTTGAAGGCCCTCCGTCTGAGGCAGTTCTGCCCTGCCCGTGAGGGTCGCCGTCAGTGGGTGTCTGGGCCCAGGTTACCCGGAATTAAAGCGCAGTGCCACCTGCTGGGCACTGAGTTGGCCTGTCACCTGGCAGGGCCAGGGCATGATCTGAGAGGCCGAGGCCCTGGCGTAGCAGCCCTGTGAGGCCACATGGTCTGCTTGTTCACACCTCTGGCTCCGCTGGCGCAGACTGGCACCCTGGCATACCCACCCTTGCTCTCGCAGCCCTCCTGGTACGTGCAGTCCTTGCTGTTCAGCTTGTGCCAGGAAATTAACCAGGTGGGCGGCCACGCCCTGCCAAAGGTGACATTGCAGGAGATGCTGAAAAGCTGCCTGGCTGAAGTCGTGGCTGCCTACGGGAAGCTCTCTGAAGACAGACAGAATCAGGTAGGGGCCAGGGTGGTTTTCCCTTAAATGCAAACCAACCGTAGTGTTTCCTTAGGCCCGAGCAGCTTACCTCAGGGGCCAGTCACAGGCCCCCTGAAAATGCCCAGCCATGGCCTCCAGCTATGAGACTCTAATCACAGCCACTCTTGGGGGGTTGGGGAGGGTGCCTTCACTCTGCAACCCAGCCCCAGAAAGCAGGGTGAGCGCCCAGGCACAGCCTGGGTGCCCTGGGCATCAGGCAGGTCACTTACCTGCATCGAGGGCCCAGTATGACCCAGGAACTGCATAGGCAGCTTGCTCATCTGAGAACTGGAGATGCCCATGGCGGGCAGTTGGTCGGTCGGCCAAGCCGTCCTTCTGCCTGCTGTGAGCCATCACCAGCCTGCTTGGGTGGGTCCCCATCTCCTTAGTGACGCCATCTTACTCAGGAATCAGCTTGGGCCCCCTCCCCGCCCCCTGTGCTCCCAGGCCCGAGTTCCCCAGTGGCCCGCTCCCCCACAGGCAGGACTGGGCTTTTTTCCAGCTGAATCCAAATTGCCAGCTTCAGGTCCCGGGGCCTTTTTAGGACTGGCCTTTAGAAAGGCTTTGAGTAGGGGAAGGCCAACCCTCTAGCACAATGGTTCTCAACCTTCCTCACGCCGCGGCCCTTTCATACAGTTCCTCATGTTGTGGTGACCCCCAACCATGAGATTATTTCATTAACTTCATCACTGTCATTAACTGGGCGACCCCTGTGAAAGGGTCGTTTGACCCCCAAAGGGGTTGTGGCCCCCAGGTTGAGAACCGCTGCTCTAGCATGACCTGTTTGGTGTTTGCTGTGTCCAGCAGCACCTGCTGCTGCCCCTCGCTGCCCATCTAACTGCCCTCCCCGCGGGGGCACCCACCTACAGAAAGAAGGCACGTTTCCCATAACCCAGAACCAGGCGCTGCAACTCCTCTTCGACCTGCGCTACCTCATCATGGTCCTGACGGCCAAGAGTGACGAGGGGAAGAGTGGCCGAGGCAAGCTGGACCCCAGGTACCACGCCCACACAGCCCCGGAAGTCCACCTCTCGGGGTGCACAGCGGGGGTTGTTTTAAACCCAGCTGCTCCCATCGCTACGGTGTAAGCAGGGCTGCCTGCTGGACCAACTTTGGGGTTGGGGGCAGGATGTGGAGGGCCACGGGGAGGGTGGCCCTTGTGTGCTAGTCTGCTGGGCAGCTCCACAAGATGGGACAGCACCAGGTCTTTCTGCCGGCACGTCCTGCTTCCACATGCTATCCGGCCATCCTCCTCCTCCCACCCGTCCTAGGGGCCGGTGGCCCTCAGTTGGCAGCCCAGCCTCATCCATCCATTACTCGGCCGGTGTCCATCCAGTCTGGCCATTTCCAGAGTGCACCGATGCCTTCGGCTCCCCTTCTATCCCAAGTGCCCGCACAGACTGAGCCTGCGCCTGCCACCTGCCTTCCAGGACGGAGAACGTGGTGGACCACCTGGAGGGGCTCGTGGACCCCTTCGACCTGGACGTCTTCACACCGCACCTCAACAGCAACCTCAGCCGCCTGGTGCAGCGCACGGCTGTGAGTGCACGGGACGACCCTGTTCCCACTGCACGGCCGCACACGCACACACCACCCCCACCACCCACCCCACAGGGCAGGCCCAGGAGAGGGCCCATTGGCCCACTCCCAAAGACAGCGGGCCCCCAGTTCCCACTGCACAGCCGCACATGCACACACCACCCCCACCACCCACCCCACAGGGCAGGCCCAGGAGAGGGCCCATTGACCCACTCCCAAAGACAGCGGGCCCCCAGTTCCCACTACACAGCCGCACATGCACACACCACCCCCACCACCCACCCCACAGAGCAGGCCCAGGAGAGGGCCCATTGGCCCACTCCCAAAGACGGCGGGCCCCCAGTTCCCACTGCACAGCCGCACATGCACACACCACCCCCACCACCCACCCCACAGGGCAGGCCCAGGAGAGGGCCCATTGGCCACAGGGAGGGGCTGTTGCTGTTTCCCCAAGACCTTGGAGCCCTCCCAGCTGCCCATTGGGGGCGCCGGCCCAGGAGAGCTCTCTGGGATGCTGGTCAGGCTGCAGCCCTGACGAGCAGCAGCAGGGAAGCAGGCTCTCCTCTCAGATGGAGACCCGCTTCTCACCTGCCAGGTGCTCTTTGGACTGCTCGCTGGCACTGAGAATCAGGGCACCCCAAGGAGCAGCACCTTCAACTCACAAGAGCCCCACAACATCCTGCCCCTGGCCACCAGTCAGATCAGGTAAATAAATGGGTCCCAGGGCTGGGGCTGCACCCCGATAAGGCCTGTTCCCACTGCTGACGGGCTTCTGTCCTGGCTTGGAGGTTTGGACTCCTGCCCCTGAGCATGACCAGCACTCGGAAGGCCAAGTTCTCCAGCAGGAACACCCCAAAAGCCCCGGTGAGTGCCACAAACAAGGGGTCAGTCCCTTCCGAGCCCCCCGGCAGCCCCCTGTAAAAAACCAAGTGACAACGTGCACTACTGCTGCTTTTAATGGCGGCGCGACGGGTAGTACAGGTTACCAGGCGAGCTGTTAGCAGGTGGGGACGCCCATGTTGGCTACCAGGCAGTCCCAACGGAAATGGGCCCCAGGCATCAAGAATTGGGATGCTGGGAGGGAGGCTTTTGACTTAGCAAGTCAATGCGTGAGGGGCCAGCCCAAGCACTGTGGTGGCTCTTACTTGGGGTTTTATTTGGGGTGGAGGCAAGTCCAGATTCCAGGTGGGTGTGAAGTAACAAGGGAACTTGCTGGAGTCTTGGGAGATAGGGAGTCTGCTGTTCCATACACGTTTTGTTGCAGCCGGATGGCACGTGCTAGGCCCGCGGGAGTCACTCTGGGTATCTGACCCATGCATGCACGTGGGTTTGAGCTCGCACGGCTGGGCCTCCCGGTCGGCTTTACGGGTGGACAAAGCGCTGGCGATGCAGCCTTCCTGTTCCCACGGAGACCCAGACATGCTTCAGAACAAATCCTGACACTCCACCAAGCCCTCGGAGAGCCAACCGGGCTCTGCTCTGCAGGGGGGCGGGGGAAGGGGAGGGCGGTGGTTCTCTAAGGCACTTTCCTCCGCATCCCTCTGCAGGCTGCCCTCCCGGCTGTCCCCCGGGCAGATGACCCAACGCTTCCCGGCACCTTCTTCAGACAGCTGGTCAGTGAGGAGGAGGACACGTCCCCGTCGTCCTCGCTGTTCAAACTGGGGTGGCTCTCGAACATGACCAAGTAGCACGGCAGCCCCGCCCCTCAATAAACACTGCCACCTCGTCAGGCCCACCTCTGCCCTTCTTCCTCGCCACACCCCCTGCGGGCTGGGGAGGGGCTGGCACTGTGACTCCCGGGTGCTGCCAGTGGCTCTGGGAGCCATGAGGTCCTTGGGTCCTTGTTCTCTGGCCGTCGGTTCTGGAAGGGTCCCCAGTGTCAGCACCGTCGGTGCCTTAGCAAGCACCTCCACAGGGCGGATCGGGCATGAGACCCCGGCAGCTGCTGAAGCCACAGGTCTGCGAGTAAGCCTGAGCTCGGTGTTCTGCTGGGATCTGCGAGAGGTGTTCGACGGAATCTGACAGACTCCGGAGGAAGGCGGGTGGAGGGTGTTACGTGCTATCTGGGGGCCGCAGGGCCGGGTAGGCCTTCCCTCTGGAGACGGAGGGTGGGCTCCACTGGCCCCGTCCAGGCTGGTCAGAGGGGAGGGCTTCGAGAGCTACACACTCAGAGGTAGTACAGCAGGTCGTCTCAGTGCAGGGCTGCAGCGAGCTTTCTAGCTTTTGTGGGAGGGGTGGAGGGAGACTTAATTTCTTCTCACAGAAACTAGACAGTCTTCACTAGTTTATTGAGTTAAAAACTGAAGGCCCCGCATGTTCAAAGGCCATTGACAGAGAGCGTTCGTGGGCAGATCTGTGGGCAGACGAGGGGGCCAATGCAGGCTGCGTACCCCTAAAAGAATCCTATAAAAGACGGTCCAGAGCCCCCTCTGAGGCTGCACGCGTGCAGCAAAACCACCCGGGAATGACGGCCCGTCACCTGTTCTCAGACAGACCCAAGAGCCCACAGGCACCTGTTTGTGTTTTGTTTGTTTTGTGTGCAATTCTTGAGAAGCGGTCGTTGGGTTGAAGCAGCCCCTGCCCAGCGCTGTCCCTTCACAGAAGGCCAGCCCGGCCGGGCATCATGTGGGAGGCCGGCCGCGGTGCTGTAGGCTGTGGAAGTGCGCCTCCCTCAGGGTCTGGTTGATGTGGAAGTACAGGCCCTGGCAGAGCGCAGACTGCTCGGGCGCAGGCTGGGGCGTGGTGGGGCTGGAGCCGGCCCTGCCTGGGTTTAAGCTGCTCTCGGGCCCACTGGCCCGGTCCGGGCTGTTGATGCTGCTGCTGCTGCTGCTGACGCCGCTCTCGCTGCTGGAAGACTGCAAGGAAGCACAGGGCACGGGCGCACGGTTAGGCCTACTGCTTAGCCGACGGGCACTGGGCTTACAGCAGACACTAGCCTTATACCAGGTCTGGGCTGCTGGTGGCACAGCCGCACCAGGACACGCGCTGGGCTTTCTGTGCTCCTTCTCCGAAGGTGCACCTGATCCTCACGGCAACCCCAAGGCCAGGGAGATTACCGCCCGTTCCGCTCCGAGGAAGGGGCAGCTGCACACTCAACAGCCCACAGGCCTTTGGACTTCAAATGCCCTCAATGATGCCTCCGACCCATCGGCTAGTGCTCACTGGAATCACCTCCCCCAAGCAGGGAGTCGTGTCCTTGGTATGGGCTGCAGAGGCACTGTCACTGAAAGGGGGATGTGGCTTCTAGGGGCAAGTTAAGAATAAAGCTCACAACTCCTCAGGGGCCCCAGGCAGGATACATCATCTCTGGGGTCTCTAAGACACTGAAGCAAGCTGGCACTTGTGAAGACTGGCACTGCCATCTGTATGTGCCTGCAAGTGTGTGTCTGTTGTCACCTAACTGACAGGCCTTGATGTGCTGGCCACCTTGCTGTATTCTCGGCATTCCCTGGTCCTTCCGGTGCCAGGATCCTCTCAAGGGGCTGGGTTGGCCGGGGCCTACTTCCGTGTCCCTGCCCTGCACCGCTGAGCGACAGCCCCGCACTGGCTTCAGCCGCCCTTGGGCATCTCCATTCTGAAGACGTGTCACTGAGATGCTTCCAGACAGACGCCAGACTCCCTCCTGTGCTTCACAAGTCTCCATTCGCCCCACGTCCCCAACCCAAGCTGCATGGAACAATTACACAAGCGTACCCTGACCACGTCAGAGCGAGCTGGGCTCCTGCAGCCCTGGCCACAGGCCTCCAGGTCAGAGGTGGCCGATCCCCATTCTCCCACAAGTAAGAAACCATCACAGAGAGACTAAAATGGCCCAACAAGGGCTGGTGACAAGTGTCCACAGCAGCCATGACGTTCACAGAAAGACTTCACTGAAGCGGGAAACAAACCAGCCGCACGAGCCCGCCCGGTCAGACAGCAGGCCTGGCCGTGGGGTTTCTGGGAATGGACACTTCGCCTCTCTCCCTGGCACAGCAGCTTCCTGCCGGGTCCAAACTGCTGGCCTTTGGCTAGCAGCCCAATGCCCAAACCACAGCGCCACCAGGGCGCTTCAAGAGCTAAAGCCAAGGTCAAATGAAAAGCTGGTTGGTTTCTCCTAGCCTCCTGTCCGAGGACCCAGTGTGGCCCCTAGCACCCCTCAGGCACCATGAGTATTTCAGAAGTAGCGCCCTGCGCTCCTGAGAACCCCTCCTGCCCCCAGGAGTCCTCAGTCCTTTTCAGGACTGTCTGAAAACTTAGGCAAGAACTAGGATCTGCTGCCTGGGAGACAGCCAAGTGCGGCCACCTGTGCAATGAGGGCCACTCCTCCAACATCCAGACGACGTCTGATGACAGCTGCCCCCAGGAAACCACCTGACTCAACTGCACAGAGACGGCCATCAGAGGGGCTACGCCATTTAGCCTGATCTGCAATAGCAATGTCTGACGGGGAACTGATAGAATCCCAATACCATTCGTACCGCAGGACTCTGGTCAGCAATCAACAATAATAGAAGCACACAGATACAAAACAGAGAGGCCCTTGACATCTTGCGCCTCTCTGCTATTTTTAAATTTCTCTTTTATTTAATGTGCCAGATACACCAGTAACATCTGGATAGATGCAGGTACAAGAAAGTGTGGAGAATCTGCAAAGTTTTATTTTCCAAAACTACTAGGCCTGTCTTTCTACCTGTGAGTAAGATCATGAGCCAGAGAGCTGAAGATGCTTCCACAAAGCAGGGCCAAGTCTCAGCCGCCGCCGACTTCAAGGCCTAAGAAGTGCACTAACTGCCAGGAGGAGTTAGGAAGAGAGTTGGCTCCTTGAAATGGCTTCAGACTTCCCACTCGGTCAGGGCTGGGGACAGCCCCTGGGGACCACGCTGTGGGTGTCCCCTGAACCCAACTCAAGCGTTGCAGACTGCCACCAATATGCCTTTTGCTGCCTTCCTGTAAAAGCTGCTCTGGTTCCTCTGCTCGCCAAGGCGAGCCTTCCTGCCAGTGGGGAGACCACCGTGGGCTGTTGACGGGCTCTGCAGGCTCAGAGGCAGGTGGAAGCAGCCGGGGCTCTGAACCGCCGGCCTTTAGGCTCGCAGTTGGGCATTTCATCCTTGCTCCCCTATAGACCCATGGCCCTCTGACTAATTGCAACCCCATGGGACAGAGAAAAACGGCCTCACAGGGTTTCCAAGACTGAGATCTTGAGTTAGGCTGACTGTCCCACCCCAACCCCCCTTTCTGGAGGGTTGGAGGGTTTCATCTGCTGGCCTTTCTTTGAGCACTTAACCACTGAGCCTTTGGACTAGTGTGTTTTCATCGGAGCAGCAGCAACTCAGACCGAAGAGCACAACATTGCAACAGGGGGCTCCTCCTGCAAACCTTCCCCCTGACCCCCCTCTCCACCTGGTCACACACACGCTGCACACGCTGCGGCACAAACGGAGAGGTTGGAGGTTCAAACCGGCTTGACGAGCCTTGGAGGAAAAGCCTGGTCATCCTTGTGGAAAACCAGCCCCATGGACACCCTCAGAGCTCAGTGCTACTGACACCCACACCACGGCTGCCAGGAGTAGCAAGGAGCCAGCTTGACGGCAGCTGGTTGCTTATATGGGGAGGCTTCAAAAAGGAGGTGGAAATGTTCCTGGATCCTTTCCCTGATGAAGTTTGCGAAGGCCCCTCCTATTGGGTATGTCCTAGGTCACAAACCAAAGCCGTGTGTGTGTGTGTGCGCGTGTGCGCTCTCCAACATTCGCCATCCCGCCAAGCTCACAGCTCTCCCAGTGCCCTCACCAGTGCCCCTCTGGTGGGCAAGGCATTGATGAGGGAAAGTGCTAACCTGTAATCGTCATCTTTCTTCTTGCTATCCGAGCTGTCTTAAGATGTTATTGTACAATACTGTGAGCCTAGACACACATAGACACACACATGCACCACACTGATTCATTCTCCTCTCTCTTCAGTACAGTACCGTATGTAGTTCCTTTTATTACTACCACACTATTAGTACTACGTCAAGGAGCGGGGTGGCATAATGGATACTTGTTGGGCTACTAACCCTAAGGTCAATGGCTGGAAACTACCAGCTGCCCCAGGGAGAAGGAAGGACAAGGTTTTCATTCTCATCAAGAGTGACAGGCTCCAAATCGGTGCATGAGCAAAGGTGGTGAAGAAAGCTGATGGTGCCCGGTATCAAAAGATAGGGCATCTGGGGTCTTAAAGGTTTGCAAGTAAACAAGTGGCCACATAGCTGAGAAGCAACAAAGCACACATGGAAGAAGCACACCAGCCTGTGTGATCATGAGGTCAACAGGATTAGGTATCAGGCAACAAGGAACAAAAAATCATATCACTGTGAATGAGGGAGAGTGTGGAGCAGAGACCCAAAGCCCATCCGTAGGCCACGGGCACGCCCTGACAGAAGGGTCACAGGGAGGAGACGAGTCAGTCAGGGTGCAGTGTAGCACCAATGAAACATACAACTTTCCTCTAGTTCTTAAATGCTTCCTCCCTCCCACACACTATCATGACCCCAATTCTACCTTACAAATCCAGCTAGACCAGAGCATGTGCACAGGTACAGATACGAGCTGGAAACATAGGGAATTCAGGACAGATAAACCCTTTGGGGCCAATAATGACAGTAGCAATACCAGGAGGGTGAGGGGAAGAGGGGGGAGGGGGAACCAATCACAAGGATCTACATATAACCCCCTCCCTGGGATACGGACAACAGGAAAGTGGGTAAAGGGAGACTGGTCAGTGTAAGACATGACAAAAT